GTATGGGTATAATGTGAGCTATTTTCCAAGCTTCAGGAAAACATTATTTTCTAAGCAAAAATTGATAATATATGTTAAAATTGTGATGATAAAAGGACAACAATGAAGCAGCATAATAGTATTTATTCCATCTTGACCTGTTGCTTTTGATTTTACTGATAAAATATACTTATATAACTCCTCTTCACTAATAGGTTTAAATTCAAACTCTATAATGTTAAAAACAAATTAAGTTTCTCTTCTTGGTAAAAGTTTAAAATATAGAGTGGAATGAAAAATAATAACTGAAAATTTGTTTTGCTAATTATTATTTATTAACTTTTACAAATCTTATCACAGATAAGTATAACATATATCTTTTTAAACAATTATTTTCCCGGCTATTTGCCAAAACGCTGAAACTTGGATTACAAAAAAAGATAATATGCACATTATGTTCAGTACGACTGACTCAATAATGTTGTTTTTAATTTCAACCATTCTGTCTAGTATGATATGATATGATAGTTTACCTATTATATCATATCATACCTAGTCTAGGATACACAACGTATCTTCGCATAACTGTAAAGTTCGTAATTGTTTTGTTTTTGTTAATAAATAACTTCTGATTTCAAGTTTTATTTAGTAGCATCAGCGCTACAGGCGCTACAAGCGCTACAGCGCTAGACAGAATGGTTGAAATTAAAAACAACATTATTGAGTCAGTCGTACTGAACATAATGTGCATATTATCTTTTTGTAATCCAAGTTTCAGCGTTTTGGCAAATAGCCGGGAAAATAATTGTTTAAAAAGATATATGTTATACTTATCTGTGATAAGATTTGTAAAAGTTAGTAAATAATAATTAGCAAAAAAAATTTTCAGTTATTATTTTTCATTCCACACTCTATAATGTTATTATTTTTTTTATTATTGTGATAATTATTTAAAAGATTTGCACTTGGTACATTATTAGTTTGTGTAATGTTCGAGAAATACTTTTGTATTTGATTTATATCGCATAAATTTTCAGGTATTTGAATTTGGGGTTTTGAATGAATATCTAATTTCTTTAAGGCTTTCCAATTATCTTTTCGATCATTCCTGGTAAAGGTAAATTCTAAAAAAGCTTTTTTTTTTCGTTTTTAATACAAATATTAACAAAATTTCTTAATTGTTTATATTCATTCCAATCTCCAGTACTTAGTGTCCTTTTATGTTTTTGCAGAGCCTTCTCACGTAAACTTATAAGTAATTTTAAATTATCGGTCATCCAAGGTGCTTTTTTTTATGATTCTTATTGTCCGAATCGGTGCATCTACATCAAAAATATCTGTGATTAACTGATAAAAAATATCTATTTTAATATTTATATCATTTACAGAAAATGTATTTTCAAAAGGCAAACTTAATAAGTCAGCATAAAAATATTCATGAGAAAATTTACTAAAATCTCTATAGCTATAAAATATTGGCTGTGCCTTGGCAATTTTTAATTTTAAAGTGCATTTTATTAGAGAGTGGTCGGAAATATTGAAGCTATCAAGTACCTCTGAACTTGTAACGAGTTTACTGTTCGAGCATAATATTATATCCAGCAAAGTTGAACTATTATTACAATGACGTGTAGATGCATTTATAATTTGAGATAAATTATAACTAGTACCTAATAATGACAAGAATTGTTGAGTATGTGTATTATCTATGTTCATCAGATTAATATTAAAATCTCCTGTGCAGATTAAATTATCACAGTCTACTAGCAATTTAGATATAACCTTTTCAAAATCATTAAACAATTCTAATACATTATTAAATCCAGGAGGACGATAAGCAACACTAAGGGTAGATTTTATTTTATTAATTGTAAACGTGATCCAAAGTTGTTCAAAAGATGTATTTACAGTTACCTTAAGTATTTTAAATTTAAAGTATCCAGTTCCAGTAATTCAGTGCCAAAAAAAAGCCAATAATTAAGGGAGATTATAAGGTGTACAAACAGTTTTTTATCAAAGTCTTGCAGTCCAAAATTGTAATCAAAGCCAGATTTTGGAGCCCAGTCGATATAACAGGAACCTACATTAACCCGAAACAAATATTTACGTTGCAACCTACGAGGGAACGCTTGACGAGCAGTAACCATTACCAAGCGATATATCCGTTGACCAGGTCGTATAAAAATTTTCAATTATTTGCAAATAACAAATTAATAAAGTCTCGAGCACGTACAGTTATTTAGTTAAGGATAGTTTTAACAGGGTGAAATTTGTATTATATCGTCTCTCAATTAATGTCAAATAGTACAAACACTTTTATTAAATAAATTCACAGTGCACAAACAAAATTTCAAAAATTGTAAATCTCCAAAAAACTTACTCCAAAGTACAATTTTTTTTCTATATGTGGCAGGAAAATTTTAAATTAAATATTGTCTAATGAGAAAAGGCTAACATTGCTCTTGGTATTTCATTCTGATTTTTGCTAGTAAATGTCGAGTGAAATGTATGTAATAATGTTAATACAAACAAGCTTATTGAGTAAGCTTAATGTGTACCACTGAAATACATAGATACATTTTTAGTAATTATTTGATTTGTAATCAATAAACAAACAAAAACAATGTTCGTTAACCTATTATTATTTATACGAGAGCAACAGTGTAGTGGTGTAGTATAATGAAATGCTGGTTTATTCACAGTCCATTTAAAATTACATAGATATATATTTTTTGTCTATTACAACCGGAGTACGTGTTGCATAATGATTATTGATTAATCTTATTAAGAAACAGCATCGAAAATATATTTTCTTTTTGCTTATTGCACCTTGAAATACAGCGCATTAGCCATCCATAATCACATACAAAATTTGAGGAAAGATTCTCATTTTGAAGCTATTAACTTAATTCGATTTTTATTACTCAACTATAACGTCCTATAGGTCGCTAACTATGCACTTTTTATACAAGTTGATAAAGGTTTTACACATTATTTTAACCGTTTTCTTGGGTTTGGAAGATTCCAGGAACAATATTCAGGTGTATAAATCTGCCATTTAAAAATATTATTAAAACCGATTTTTATTATATTTTATTTTTTTATGTTTGAAGAGGATCAAACATCTGAAGTCAGTACTTTAGCTAAAATGATAAAATTTGCCAAAAATAAAGAATCAGCGCTTAGTGAGCAACATATTAGGGAAGCAGCAGGTCCTTAGGTAGAGGTAAACACTGAGGCCGAGGTACACTTCAACCAGCCGGGGCGAGTAGCAGGATTGCAGCAAAACCAAAACCATCGGAATCAAGTAGCAGGATACTCAACTAAGAACGATGTTAATGGACGGAGTTATGCAGTAACGAATCGATCACAACAAAATCAAAGTGCTTAGTTTGTGGACATCGTAATCATAGTTCAAATGATTGTTCATATCGTAATTATACTGTTATAAGTGCGGAATAAAAGGGCATTTGGCACCTATGTGTAGTAGTTTACGGCACCATAATTTTTTAACAGAAGATGACTTACAAAGAAGCGAAGAAAATGAGGGCTTTACAATATTTAATTTACAAAGTATTGAAATAGATAATCGGGGATATGTTAAACCCACATATATAACAATAAACTAAGTTTTTTAGATGGCACCGCAGAAAATCTAATGGATTGAGGTCCGGTGACCTTGGTGGGCATTCGATGGATCTACATCTACCAATCCACCTGTTCAGAAATATTTGGTCAAGATACCTTCGAACGTCTGCTGCATAATGGGGAGGCGCACCATCTTTTCGATACCACAGGCTTTTATCAACATTTCCCGTATTAATTTTATGGGGGAATAAATTTAATAACGTTGGGATGAGATAGCCAATTAAAAATCGGAGATATGCCGGTCCGATGGGAATGTATTCCCATCGAAAAAATAGGGTCCAATGATTCTATTTCTTATAATTCCCGCCCACACATTTACCTTTTGTGGATATTGTGTGTGCTGCTCCGCATCCATCGAGGGTTTTCCCTTGCCCAGTATCTACATATCTGACGATTCATTTCACCATTTAATTTGAAAGTGCATTCATCAGGGAAAATAATATTTTTTCATAAAATTGTATCCTCCGATTTGGATCATCATCACTTAGTTCTTGCACAAGCTTAATCTTAAAGAGATGCAAATTTTCTAATTTTAATACTATATGTACTGACGTTTTAGTAACATAATGGCGCACGCTGATATGTGGATTTTCTTAAGCAGCCAGTAAAATATTTATTTTTGTATCGTCGTCAACACCCAGGCGACCTGATTTTGGGTAAATCTCCCACCGTACCAGTCTCTATTTTCTTTTTTTCAATTTTACTCACTGAGTTATGAGTCGTTTAGTATTAAATAAATTACATACTTCTTGTTGAGTTCGCATCCTATCACCATACCCAATCATCGCAAGAATTTCAATTCTCTGCTTTAAAGACACTTATGTTATAAATTAAAATAAATCGACAACAATTATTGAGGAACCACTACTGGGGTAAAGTATTATTAAGTGATTCATTGTCAAAGACGATATTGATAAAACAAAAACTAGCATACTTCAAAAATTAATAAACAGCGTGTTTATTTTACTATTTTTACTTGTTTTTTTTTTAATGACCGTATCTTCCAACTTTCAATTTTAGACACTAAGTGTGATACATATTTGGAATCAGCTGTGGAAACAGGATCCAAAAATGGAGAAATATGCAGGATGTTCCATTTAAAAAATATATCGATGACGTCATAACGGAAACAGTGGTGACGTCATAACCGAAAAATAAAGTGAGGTGTGCAATTGACATTAAAAATCGCGTGTGTGAGGATTTTTCTAAATATTTTTGTTTAAGAAGTAATGAATGCATTCCATACTTTACGGACACAATGTGGATATATTTTTAATTGAACAGACCACAGGTAATACTCCTCCTGTATCCCTAAAGGTACATTGTGTGGAAGAGGGCTACATCCAATATCCGAACATGCTAGGATTAATTTCTAGCTCCTCGGCCGTGGATCGAACCCGGGACACCAGGATGAAAGGCAAGTGTTGTTACCGCTAGACCATGAAGCCACACACCAAGCCATAGAAATAATGCAATTAAAAAACACTTATAAGCTACAAAAAATAATTTAGAAGACCAAAATTATGTTAACAGTTTAAATGTTCCATTGGATAACGTTTGCCACGAGGAAAAAAATTGCAAATCTTTTGATAGAGATGTGAGTATTTTTTTACAATTATTAAAATAAATGTAATGTCGAACACGATAATTTAAAGACAATTCAGTTTTAAAATGGGAATACTAGGCATATTATGTAAACTGTCATAATTTCTAGCTATAACCGCAATATTTTTCTAAAACAAATTCGCTTTTAGTTCGCTGCGCTATCCATGTAGAAATGCTATTGTGCAGCATACAATTAGTTGGTGCTCGTAATAGTTGTTAATACTGCTAATAGTGTTGATCGAAAGCAGTAAAAAAGACCTTACATCGTCATTTATTTAGACAGTGACCAGCCAACAACATTTTTGCAATAAAACCAACTCGACTGGAAAATTAAATTTCGTAAATGTTCCACGCACATTAGTTTTTGTTCCTGTTTACTGTTTAGTGTGTATTGTCGCCATTTACGTTTAGTTTGATGCTGATGCCAAATTATGTGTAGGGAGAGGGCACTGTGACGGGGAAACTCGTTATACATACGAGGTGTCAGATTTTAATTCATTTGTTCATTGCAATTAGAAATTCACTCCATTCTCCAACTAACGAAAAGTCAAATAAATGTTCTTATTTTAATTGATGCTCTAAAAGAAGAAAATTGAATATATTACGTTAAATATAGTAACATTGAAGTAGTGTCCACAAACGCCAAAATATTCGGTACTATATGTGTCACGAATTTCGCCAAACAAGTTGGTATCATCTTGAGATGATTAAAATGAGTTTTAATTACCGTCAAAAATAAGCAAGGGGTCAACCTGTTTGGAAGTTTGGTGTACAAGCATATGGAACTCTGTGGAATTCTTCAGAATTCCGTGAATTCTTCAGAATTCCCATGGAATTCCTTAGAAGTTTTTGCTATTTCTCAGAAGTTTTACAATTATTATTGTAGTCAAAAATTAAGTATTTATTATGATTTATATTATAGCACCACCTATTTTACACTATCCTTGTATTTTTAAATAGAAATAACATACAGTTACTTTCATGACATATACGAATTGCAGACGGGTGTTTTGTACCAAAATCATTATTTTCATAAACTTGAATTAAAAACATTGTTTCAGAATTTACTTTGTTTTATGAAAAAACAACTAATAATGCACTAGGTTGAATGTAGTACTGTTGGTTAGCACTATGGACATTTCCGCAACTTTATTATTTGCAAAAAAAGTAATAATTAATTTTACGGGGTTATTCATTATAAATTACCCACCCCTTATCACCGTTATTATTGCCTATAGAAAAAAAATTTAAATAAAAGTTGTGTGGTTATGGCTGAATTTTGTTAAAATGCTGTCAAAAGTACAGTAGCATGCAGATTTCAGGGGATACAAAAAAAAATAATATTTTTTTTTTAAATGGAATAAATATATTATTAAATTATTGGAATCATCCTTTGTCCCTGATTTCAAAAATATACCATATGTTACCTCTACCATATACCATTTTTGAGTTATTAAACGTCGAATATCTTAGTTAAACTAGTTACTGTAAATATGGAAAAGTTAACATTATTAAAGTGAGCTATGAAAATGACAACTATTATGTTTGATAAGTGACATTTCTTTAATGAAATAATCAAAACGGTTTACAGTGAGGAAGAAAAAACTAAATATTTATACAAAATAAATACTTAACAAAGATTTATTTAGGAAAATATAAATAAATGATAACTCATAAAAGATATTGTCAATTCATAATTGATAACGTCTTCTAATATTTAGAAATCCCCAAAAAAATTAATCCATAGGGGTCAAATTTAGACTGTTAGGTGGCCATTTAATAGGTCAATTATTTCCTATCTATATTGAGAATACATTATTTAAATATATCGAACTGGTAGGACACTATGCGGAGTTGCCCCATCCTGCATCAAAATCATATCAAGTTCGGCTTCCGGAAAATTCTGCAAAAGAATATTTTCTGTTTTTGGGATAATTATTTTCAGATAGGTAACTCCAGTTAGTGTATAATCATAAAATATAGGCCCAACAATTTTGTTTCTGAAAATTCTACACCAAACGCTAACAGTTTTTCTTCCTGATTTTTTTTATTTGTTTTACCAATATTTTTCTGTTGTGCTTGTTTTCCCACGATCCTCGATTTTTCCTGTTAAAAACTCCTGCCGTAGAAAAGGATGATTCATCAGTCCATAATATTTTAGTAAAAAACTTCATTCAACTTTTGAATCATCTGGCGGCAAAAGTCCAGCCTTTTCCTTTTATGAGCCTCTGTTAAAACTTGTACGGGTAAAATTGTACATGGTCTGTAGCTGTTATTTTTTTTAACGTACGTTGAATTTTGGAACAACTTTTTTTGATCGACTGCATTATTTATACTACATTCAGAATTTTCTAAAAAATAATACAATGTTTCAAAAAAAGTCTATTCGCGAATTAATATGGATGAGCTTACCTTCGAAATGAAGCAGTACATCTAGTTGTTCTTCCTGGTTTGCTTGAACTACACGCTTTTTTCTACTGAACCTGGAGGTATTATTCACCTTTCGGTAAATATTTTTGAACGTATTTTCTGATGTTATTTTTGCTGCACGTTTATTTTTATTATTTTGTATATAGCAAGTAAATATTTGGTTTTTTTCTTCCTCATTGTGAACCATTTTGATTATTTCATTAAATAAATGTCACTTATCAAACATAATAGTTGTCATTTTCATAACTCACCTTAATAATGTTAACTTTTCCATATTTACTAACTAGTTTAAATAATATATTCGACGTTTAATAACTCAAAAACGGTATATGGTAGGGGTAACATATGGTATATTTTTGAAATCAGGAACAAAGGATCATTCCAAAAAATATCATTTTAAAATATATATATATATAATTTTTTTTGTATCCCCTGAAATCTGCACGCAACTGTACTTTTGATACCATTTTAACAAAATTCAGTCATAACCACACAACTTTTATTAAAACTTTTTTTTCTATGGGCAATAATAACGATGATAATGGGAGGGTAATTTATAATGAATAACCCTGTACATGACATGCTATGCACTTATACAGGGAAATTAACAAGGTTGAAAAAGGAGTTATGAGTCCAAACATGATTTATTTTAATATTCAAAATTAATATAAAACAACTTTATTCTTAAAACTAATTAGTTTCTCTTTTTTTGTTTGGATTTTCTTCATTTTGTTCAAAGATTTCTTCATTTGCATTATTTTTTATGAACTTCATTAGTTCACGTAAATTGTTAAAATTTTCAGCTGTTAGTCCTCCATTTTCTCTAAATCTATTAGGAGTAATTCTTCTATATGACCTTTCCAGCCTCATTTCTTTAATGCGTTCGCCCTAAGAAATGGTGTATACTCATCGAGGCTTTCTTCTGTATAAATAGTATCCGTACTATTCAACCCTAATTAATTTAATATAGTCTCTGAAGTTTACTTTTCATCCAGACTATTCTTTTTAATTGAACAAGTTTAATCCTACTGAAGGCTCTTCAAAATTATAAAAGTAATTTTTTCATATCAACACAGAGTTTTTTTTGTGCTTGACGATTTTATTAGGTTGTGGTATTGCTCAGGCACGCAAACATTTTCAACTTTTCTAATTATCTTTTCAAGCCTAGCAAAGTCTGTGTTGAAATCTAGATAACCATGATCAATGTCCAGGTATCTGTAGTCAAAAGCCTTGAACATCTATTCAAAATTTGAAGTTGCTAGAGACGAACGATTTTTAAATTTTTATTTTCGCCGACATGATTCCGACCAAATTACAAGATGATTAATATCTTCATCTGTTTCTATGAGCAAAGGCAAAACTTACACAAACAAATTATAGTTTTTCAGCTTCCTCTATTTGCCACATTATTTGTCCAATCAAATCAAAACAGGTCTATATCCTGCAGAAGTTAAACGGTGTATATCGAAATTATGTATCAACGTTTTCCTCCTAAACAAAAAACCTTGAGTTTCGGAAGTGGCATTATTTGCTGTAAATCTGAAATTATTTAACACTTTTTTTTTATCAATAAAATGCTTTTCTCTATCTATTCGTTGAGCCTCAAAATTATTTAATGTACATTTTGTATCCTTGAGTTATATTGAGATGAGGTACAAAGAAACATTTTATGGTGATTTTTATCCAGTGAATAGTGCAGCTGGAAAAGTTTTTGCATGTTCTGAGTCCTTAGTCGATGTCACCTGCTTGTATCGTGCTCTCTATATTATCAAGTAATGTAGTAGATATTCCAGTTTTCAGTTTTTTTACCATGACCTCAACATTTTTCTGCTAAATTGATGTAATGAACAAAATACATCTCTACATACCAAAATTGTTTATCTATCGTAACTAAATACGTGAACAAAAATTGTTTCTGAGTCTTTATATTAACCTTACAACGCGACATGCAACTGGTGTCTTAGCAGTACTGTTAAATAAGAGAGATAGGTCAATGTCCAAACAATAAAAAATTTTCAGAATAGCCTTCTTGGTTTTCAAGTTAAACTTTTCGCTGCACTTCAATCTGTATTTTTCCTTGCACAAGGGTCCTTGATCTATCTTCATTTTTAGCATTAAGTTTTCCATTTTGGGAAAGACATTCTTATCCTCTGTTTCTTGCAATAATTGCTGATCTCTTTTCCATTGGTTTGGACTTCGTAGGTTTTTCTAGAAACTTTCCCTTTTGGATAAAAAATTTTCTTTCTAACGTTGCTTCTTTCTAAAAAAATCTCTAAAACTAATTCATTTTCGGTCATAACAGGTAATTTATTTTCAAGGTAATCATTTATTATGTCATTTTCAAAAATTTTTCGTGCTACTTATATCTTCATGTCTATTATAAGAAATTAGAGATAATTATATAGGGGAATGC